TCTTCTGCCCACGTGTAAATCAACTATTCTTCAACCCAAAAACGCCCGAAATATCACTTATACAAATCATTATTGTTATGAAAGTATTGATGTAGGAAATTTTCTATAGTTGATTAAAGCTTGAGTGAAAATTACAGGCAGTCTCTCAGGTATCTTTATCTTTGCATCTTTGTGCACCGCCCAAAATAAAGTTGACCTTGGCCCTTCTATTTTTTTCCACAGAGAGCTTTTCGAACCAGAAGCAGGTTAATATTCTGGTGAGCCCCCAGCCCAAGCAAACTTGATTCAGTGACAACCTACTTTTGTTGACTACTACCATTTTATAAATCCTCCTGAAGTCATATAGAAAATGGATTTTTAAACAATTATTAAACAGTTAGAGAGGATTGAGGATGAATAACACAATGAACACACGCACCCCTTGTCTAAGAATAAGCCTGTGTTATGACGGTTCGCGGTGTGAAGATTCCAACAGCATTTGGCCGTTAGAACAGCAAGAACCCACCTCTGCTCCTCGGTTTAGCAGGTGGTACGATGAACACTGAAGTCATAAACCACCACACCTCCAACACAGCTTTGCTCTGCTTTCCTGGAACACAGTGACGCATAGTTAAATTTGGTGGATTGCACCTTTTCTTTTGGGGAAAGAGCAGGTGAGAGTGTCTGAACGATGCAGGATTTTGCCCCACAGGAAACAGCGAGGGAGATAGTCGTCTCAGCCAGAGTCGTGGTGACATCAGAAGTCACTGTGTCGGGCAGTGTTTTTATTTTACACCATATTTTTGAAACACTTTCCTGAATATCTGATATCGGCAGAGACACGCAGATCCTGTTACTAGACCGTGAGATGTGCTTGCATTGATGTCTTCTCTCTGTATAACGATCGTTTTCTATAAGCACTTATTTGTGTCTCTGCTCTTTTTCTAACCATATTACTTCCTTTGCCCCCAAGTTTGTGTCATGTGGCCGGATACATGATTTATTCAAGGAAACATTTATCCATATATGTCTCATTTTTATAGAAATAGATACGTAGGCAGGAATGACGTATTGATGATGTCTGTGTACATGGGAGTGTGCATGGCTGTATCCATGTGTGTATGAATATGTCTCCATTTGTGTAAATATAAATATAAAATATTATACATAAATATGTATCCATGCATGTATCTACTTCTGTTTCCATATATACGTATATGTGTGTGTCTTTATGCACATGTCTATGGAGATCATGGCCAGTGGAAGTAAAAATATGGATGAACATGTCAAAGCTCAACATTGTTGCTTAGACCGAATCTAAATTTGGATTCACTGAGCTTTCTGGTAATCAAAGATGTAAAGAAAAATCCACTGTTAATATGGTGTGCTTTATTTAAAAAATGAACTGATAAGAGGAAACAATGTATCTAGCATTTACTGAAGCAGCGTTCAGTGATGTGAAAGGCCCTGTCTAGAGCTGTGCTTCTGTAGTTTAGGTGTGCTGAATTTCGTAAGGCCATTTGTTAGGCTGCTTTCTGGAATAAATCATGGACTTACATGAGAAAATCGTTAGGAGTTTAGAATGAAGTTTCGATCACTATACATTTAAAAACATTTGTTCAGGAGGGCTCATGGTGACATGCAATATTAAGAACCTGTAAGTCCCACCTGTCACGTAAATTAAACAATTTTGTGAATGGGCTCCACGTCTTTCAGTGCTCAGTTCACTATAACGTCCTTAGTTGACTACAGCACATTATGACTCACATGTAGAGAATGTGGGTCACTGGGATGTTGACTGAGCATAACTGTGAATGATGTGTGATCCCTGGGTGGGACGTTCAGCTCTTTAACACTGCTGTAACGGGAGAGCCGACAGGTTGAAATACAGCGTCCGAGCAGACGGTATCTGTGGCTGATTGTTCTTATTTTCTTTGCCAACACTACATCAGCTCATTAACGATTTTGCATCTTCAGCAAACGACCCCATAGTCGTGAGCCTCCTGCATCACCACGTTACCCCTGATGACTTGTTGCTAATCATGTCGCGAGTGCGCGTTTAGTGTGAGAGCTGAATTACATTAGCTGAGCCACACACAACACGACGCAGTTTACGGCATCGACTGCAGCAGCCTTCTCTTTCCATAAACCTGACTTATAACGCCATTGATTTTAAGTATGTGATAAAATTGTGTGGTTTGATTCAGAAATTGAATTTGGATTATGTGAGAAAGCTCAAAACATGGGTGATTATAATTTAAAGTTGGAAAGCAGACCCCGGCCTTGGTGTCCAGGCAGGGGTGCTGGGCGTGTGCTGATGGTGGGGAAGGGAGGGGGTGCCGCTGCGCGGCCTGGACGCGTGCCGCGACTCGCCTCGCTCAGGAGGATGGCTCGTGAGCCTTCCTCTTTGAAAACATGTTCTCCGCTCCGACAGGAGACACAGATTTGGGTTTCCAAGCCGACTTTATCTTTTCATTTTTGTGGCAGATTTTATCTTTGCATATGAAAAATGGGACTTTGAAGCAAATAACAATCTTTGATACTTAGGGCCACCCTGGCATGATCTGTGGAGAAAAGAATTTTCCCATTTTATCACCAAACACAACCCTCATTTAAGATCATATTCATATATAGAAATAGTACAATTTATGATATATTTATGTATAGATTTTAATATATTTATATACTTATATACGAACATGTGCATAAATATATACATGCATATATTCATACAGAGAGACTCCTCTTTACATACGAGGAGAAAGCTAATGTAATGAATATTTTAAACTCTCTGTGTATGCAATGCACATAAAGTATATAAACAAGGCCCTGTGTATCTGCTCACGTGTCCTCATACCTGTTTCCCCGCTGAGAGCCTCTGAGCCCTCTCTTCTCCTCTGTGTTAGACTTATTTCTATCAGCTGGTGTCAACAAAAAAAATGCACAACCTGGGACGTTGAGAGTTAAGTTTATTCGGCGGACTTTCTGAGGACCTGAGCCCAGGAAGCAGGTGGCTCTAGGAGACCACTCCGAAGAGGTAAGGGAGGAGCCAGGATAGATGGAAGTCTTTGCGACAAAGCCCAGGTAGTTGGGACATCAAGAGATAACTGTAATTAAAGAAAACCAGATATTTCAAATTAAGGAATTGAGCCCTTTTCTGTGCACGGGAAGGTGCAGATGTCTGGGCTCACTGAAATCACCCCGTTGATCTGCGCCTTAGCTGTGTCGGGCCAGTGTCCTGTTCTTTCCCATCCTGAGTCCCCCCGGGGTGGGGAGCACCGGTGGGGGTTTTTCTGTAGAGGCCGGGCTGCCTGCTTGACAGCATCCTGAGTTCCCACCGTCACTGTCGGGGGTGGTGGTCGTGGCTGGTGACGTGACGGCCACAGCGTCCTTTGTCTGCTGAGACGGCTGCAGTGTGTTCCGTCCACGCTGGTGGTGGTCTCTCACGTGAAGGTCCATTCGCAGTGACGGGTGGGGGAGCTTGTCGTGCTGGGCGCTGCAGAAGGCGTGTGCTGTCTGAGGCCCCTGTACAGCCCTTTCCCCTGGGGCATCCGGTGCTTGGACCGTCAGCTCGGACTCTGCGATCCCCCTCGCACCTCTGCGCTTCCACCCCGCTGTCAGCCCTCCTGGCGTCCGCCACTGCGCCTCCTGTCTCCTGTCACTTGTCCCTCCTGGGAGTTTCCGTCTGGGCTCCTGATGAACCTTAGTTCCACAGAGGCAGGGGACGTGTGTTCACGCTGTTGCCCTGTGCCTCGTGTGTGCATGACAGTCAGGGTCTCCTGATGAACGTTTGTGCGGATGAAAAAAAAAGTGAGTGAAACCTGAGCTGAGCGAGCCACCTGAACAAGCCTGGGCAGCGCCTCGGGCAGGCCCCCCGACCCCACCTTCAGGGCCCCCCTCCTGAGTCCGGTCCCTGCTCTTCCCCGGCTGCACACTGGGGGCGAGCCACTGCGTGCGCGGTGCCCTCTGCTTCATGCTTCTGTCACTTTTTTCCCCTTGAGAGTCCTTCTCACTTTTCCATACACAAATCCTACCCTGTTTCCAGGCCTGATCCAGAGGCCACGTCCGAGCTCCCTGGGCGGCCTTTCTGCTCCCCGCAGTGCAGGCTCGTCTTTCCTAGGGTGTGCAAAGCCCTTCTGAGGGGGAGTGTTTTGGCTTTGATTACTTTGAAATTGTTTTAGGAAAACTTGCTAATATCCAGAATATGTGTCCTCATCATAAAACTCCTTCAGGGAAAGATTTAAACCTGATGTGTCTTCTTCGTATGCAGCACAACCCTGGTGAACGAAGACACGAAGCGTGTCTCTCCAGTGAGTAAAAAGATCACATGAAGGCTGGAGACAGTCGTTTGGATAACCCTGGCCCCGCTTCCCTCTCTTTCAGCACGGGCGATATTACGGCCATGTGAACACAGCTGTCCATACCATCCAGTAGCGTTACTTAATTCCTCTTCTGTTCCCAGAACCCTTAGACCTTGTGTTGACGCCAGCACCCTGTGTTTCCTCCTTAATATATGGCCGTAAGCTAGCCCTGCAAGGACGCGTGTCCACAGGCTAGCTCGGTCCACGGCTGGCCTGTGGCACCAGGAGGCTGAGAGAACCAGGACGCAGCTGCAGACGCGCTGGTCTGCAGATGATTAGGGATGGTTGATGCAGCTGTCCCGAGGACAGAAGGTCAAAGCTGTGCTCTGACGCGCTCGGTCCCGTTGATCCGCAGTTCTTCATCACGACCGCCTCCAACCCTCCGTAGTGCTGACCCCTGGGTGCCATTGCTGAGTCAGACCTCTCAGGTCAAAGTTCACGTTGCCCAGGGGAAGAGCGCACAGGTTCCTGCCTGGCTGAGTCATGATTCAGAAGGGCTTTTCAACTGTGTCCACATGATTAGTCCACTTTAAAACTGAAAAATGATATCTGTGAAATAAGGGGAGTCATCAGTCCAAGCGGTAAACAGATATGATCGCCAAATTATTCATTATGGTCGTATGAATGAAATTATATTTTTATTAGATGAATATGAGTTAACATTGTCCACCTGATGGTAAGAGTTCCCAATATTAGGATTTGGGAGGATCTTACTTCAATAAGCTAATGTGAGTAAATGAGTACTTCTGGTATTTCAGGGCATTTCCTTGTCAGTGACTCCTGTGCCGGATGAAGTGCGGACAGTGCAGGTCATGGGGGCAGCTGTGTGACCTGCGATTATCCGCTCTGTCCCCGCATCCCGGGTCTCCGGGTAGCGTCTGCACGTAGCCGGTGCTCCGTGCGTATCTGTTAAAATAAGGCTTCATTATTTGCATATGGAAACTTCCTATGAAACCAGATATTTGGAAGACAGACTCAATCTTCATTTCCCTGCCGTTCCCAGGAGATTCAGTTTGTATTCCAGGAAATAGGCTGAAGCAGTGACACACGTAATGAAAAGTTTTGCTTGAAATTGTTTTCGAAAAGTTGTTGGTTCTGAAACTTACACCCCTTCATCACTGAAGTGTGGCGGAGAAGCCCAGAAGTGGTCGTGGCTTTTACACAATCGCTATTGATTACTTAGTCAGCAATACACGATTGCAAGCCCTGCAGAGATGCAGAGAGAGAATCAGACTTCCTGCGACGCCTCCCTTCGGCTCCCGCTGTGTTTGGCTCCCGTAGAAGTGGCCCTGAACCCGAGAAGGTGCTGTGTGTCCTGGAATTGCTCTGTCGTGTCTGATGAAATCCAGTGACAACCCCAGACGTTTTCAAGCGATGGGTATGATGACTGCAGAGGCGTTTTCTAAAAGGCTGCATGTCAGGGTTTATCAGGGCTGTTTTGATCTTGAATCACTAAGGATTTTTGGATCTCTTAACAGTGTGCCCTTCTCTCCTGAAATGTGTGAATTGGAGTTATTACAGCTCTGGGGACCCTTTTCGAGACACGGCGGAGATCCTCCCAGAGATTTGAAAGTCGATGAACACGTTTCTCCAGGGTTTCTGCACGCGCTCCCACGTCCACTGGTGGTGGCTCATCATGATTAGAATGAGAAGCAAGGCAGAAAGCTTCTGACACTTATTTTTAGAAACTGCTTGCTCTATGCCGGCAGAATTCAGAGAGGGAAGTCTATCTGTAGGCCATTAAGTTAAACTTTTGTTTCACGATAGGGTTGGTGGCACTTTTCATATTCTTCTCATTTTTTTTTCTAGAATCTTAGCAAAAAAATTTTTTTTCCTTCTTCATAGCACAGCCTCTGTGTGGGAGTGATTTTGTGTATCTACTTTTTAACAGAACGAAGTCTCCCAGCACTTCCAGTTTGATTTTTCTCTAAGTGCACTTTCTTCTTGAGTACGTGTATTCCTAAGACCAAAGTGTGCAGTATTTCTTCAGTCTCTGAAGTGATCAGTGAAGCTTGTGTAGGTGAACTAGAGAGAGCTTACCGTGTTTGTGGAAATAGTTTTTCAACTGTGTAAGTTATGCAGTAACGTAACACCTGCTCAGGGCATCTTAAAAGCAAGGTGAAGTCCTGTTCCTTTTGGACCCCAGTATTGGTGTGGGTTTTGGCAGATAAATAAGACAAGGTTAGTTGTTTTTTTTTTTTGAAGAGTTGTGTATGCTCAGAATTTTGCCAAGCAGCGCGTGGTTTTCTGTGTTACGTTCTGACACATGCAGTGTCGCCCGGTTCTCACGCGCGCAGTGAGCCGCAGGATGGCGTACCGGTGTGGTGGCTGCCCTGCGGAAGGTGGGCTATTAGAACTGCGTTTTCCACTCCGGGAGCAGCTACAAAAACACAGAAGGACACACTTCAGGTTCTCCTCCCAGATGCTTTAGGAGGAAAGGGATTTTCTTCCAGCGGTATTTTTCCTCCTTGGCGTTCGTTTTACAGCCTGTTCCTTCAGTGGGCTAGAGTGTGCAGGGTGTTTGAGGGATGTCTTTGCAGGGCCGTGCGGGGAAGCTTCGTGCAGGTGTGAGTCAGCTCAAAGGGGACCCAGGCGTGGGTCCCTGATAGGAGGCAGTCCTGCTCCCAGGCAGGGTGAGGGGCCTCCCCTGAGACCTGCTGCTGCTCGTCTGGGAAGCCCAGACGTCGGCTGCGGTCGTGTCTCGAGACGCAGGACAGGCAGCGACAGGCCACCGCGCTTACCTCACTCGCACACGGGAGCGCCCACTCAGCAAGCTCCGTGGGAGGAGCTAATCGGCAGCTTTCTCTTAGTTCACAGTCCCCGTCCTGCTGTGGGAATTTTCAGCGATGTCAGAGTCACATAAATGACAGAATCTGTCAGATCTCATGTTGGCCTTGTGCTAGGAAGAAGCTTTTTCATTCCCTCTTCATCTTGTTTATTTACATTTTTAACCCTCAGTCTATATTTGCATGACTTATGCCAAAGCCCCCATCAGGAAATTCTGTCAAGAGGAGCAGTTCATCAGGGAGTAGCTCTCTTAGTCACAGATCAGTGATGGTGATTTCTCCGTGTCTTGCAGAAAAAATATCATCCCTTTTCCTGTCTCTCTGCAGAACTTCTTATTTTAAACCATATTCTTAAAATATAATTACATATAGGAAAGAGACTAGAAGATTTAAAGAAAGCAAAGGAATGAATGAGCAGAAATCTTTTCTGATTTTAGTAACTTAATGAGCCAATAGAAATTCTTTCCGCACTAAAAAACAAAACAAACAAAAAAACAAAACATATACACACACACAAAACAAAAAACAGCTCTGGTTGTCTGGTGAACACTGGATATTGTGTGTTACAGGACATTTCAATTCACAGTAAAGGATGAAAAATCACTATTATTCTTTTTTCCCAAGTCAGCGTTCACAAATAGCCCTTGCTATGCTGACACTAATGTATGGTCATCGTGCCACTAACGTATAGTCATGTCATCACATGCCATGTTTGTCAGATTGCATCTTTTGAAATTTTGTTTGTCTAGAACAAAAAAGGTCAAATAATCATTTTACATGATTCAACTTAATATATTATTTAAAAAAAGGAATAATCCTATTCAAGTGGTTAAAAAAAAACTGGGCCAATATTCAAGGTAGGTAGGCAGAAGGAGCCTCTGTGATCAGAGGCAGTTTTCCCAGCTGGTACTAGGTTTTGCATTTCTTATTTGAACAGATTAACTTGAAATTCAATGAAATTGAATTTTCTACAGTTCTCTCATTCAGCCTTGTGCTTCACAACTTTATACACATGAGAAGAGCAGAAGTTAATGAGGCAGGGATTGTCAATGTCACCAGTCTTATTTTTCTCACTTTATCTCTTATGTGTTGCAATAATAATGCTTTTCATTTATGTAGCACCTTCCTCTGAAATGCGTGGATCACTTTACTGATAGAATCTGATTAATCCTTTAATTTTGGTGCACATTTCACTGGATGGAATTGTGTGGAAAATGAAAATCATAGAACAAATGCCTTGCTTTTAATAGCATACCTATTTTATCCCACTATTTAATCTCATCTTGCAGGAAAGGTAGCAGTTTAATTTTATATGGTGCAGACCAAAGAGTCTTACAATTTTCCTGTAAATCATTTAATCTCCATGAACTAATTTATAAAGCTTTCATCTTCTTTCTTTGTACAATTTATTATATTGATGCTATGCAAAGCATTTTCTCAGGCCTCTTCAATTTCTTCAGAGTAAATATATTGTTACGTATGAATTATGAAATCTTCCAGTTGACTGGTTCTCATTAACTCACCGGAACAGTATAAAGATGCTATTCAGTTATCTCTGAAATACAAAATTATATTATCAATTATATTATCTGTATATTTTCCTCAAATCCTAATTGGAAAAAATATATATGTGTGTGTGTGTATGTATATGTATATGTGTATAGATACAGATATATATTCCATTAAGTCAAGAAAAAAGTCTCACTCATTTAATTTACTTATGTGGTGACTATGAAGACATAATCTAATTAAATGGCTATGGCTTAAATTAGCAAAACAAGAAAACAAAAACAGCCAAGTGTTCATTTTCAAAAGATTATTAAATTGAGCAACATTTTTGTTTGACTATGAGGAAATCAATTCAGATTTTTAAAGTTACATCATTTCATATGAATAAGGAATCTGAAAATTCAGTTTCAGTTCCGCACAGGGAATGCATGTGCGTTAATGTGGCTCAATTCTTTGAAGTTCATATAACAATTTTTCGTATAACATATAACAAAGTGATATAAAGTAATAAGGTTAAGTTTTATGTTTGTAAAGGCTACTGAAGTCGTTATGAATTCAGTTAATTCGAATAAATGGTGTTTGTATATAATGTTGACACTGGGTTGCCCGGTGTTCTAAGGACCTTGTACACGCTGATTCCCGAGACGCTCCCAGCAGCGCTATGAGGGAGACGCTGTCATTGCTCCATGTATAGGGGAGGAGGCTGTGGTGAGTTTGTGGGGTAACTGGTGCAGGTTTACATACTTCGTAATTGAACTTGGATTCCATCTGGCCAATCAACATGGTAGCCACTCAACACGCATGGCTAATGAGCACGAGAAATGCAGTCAGTCCAAGCTGAGATGCACTGAAGGGTTAATAGACACCCAGATTTCAAAATTTAGTATAAGAAAAAGAATGTGAAATATCTCATTAATACTGTTTATATTGATGACATGTTGAAGTGTTGATAGTTTGAATATACTGGGGTAAATGGCATTGAAACCAATCTACCATTTTCTTTGTATTTATTTATTTTTAACGTGGCCACTAGAAAATTAAATGTTACGCATGTGGCTGCATTTGTTTTTGTTGGAGAACAAGGATGTGTACTCTGGTCTGGCTTTAGAGACCAGCCCCTTGAGACGTAGTGGCTTCCGTCAGGGTGAACTGGGTCTGAGGTTCTGCAGGACCAGCAGGGGGAGGGTTCGGCTGGGACTTTGCTCTCCTGGTGCTTCCGTGTTATTAGCAGCGTCTTCGCTCCAGCAGGACACAGTGGTTTTTGGTTTTTCATTGCTTTTACTTCACACTGATTTGCATTAAAACTGTTCTGCAGTTCCCATGATATTGGACAAGTCATGAGCACACAGCCAAGAGTCTTTTTTTTTAATTTGTGTGATATTTGTTGTTGCTATTTCTTTGATTTTTTCACCCAAACCCAGCTATATTGCCTTAATATCTATCTAGCCAACTGTCTTTTCTGCATTTTTAATTGGAATAAATTAAATATGTTTCAATTTTATTATTTAATATAAAAATGCAATTCTCAGGTTGAATCTGAACGTGAAATATATATGCCATCGGCCCCCGTGTTTCATAGTGTTACATGCTTTGGAATCAGAAGTTCTCTGCCTGATTCTGCCACTGGCAAGTGGCATGTGTTTGCCATCTTACTTACCTGAAGTCTCATATCTCCTGGTGGAAATGAAAATGGCGGTGTCTGTGTGTTTAGATTTTAATGGATCTGTAATAGAATGCTGTCCTAAGTTGGGCTCTCATCACATGCCTTGGGAGCTGTTATTCTTCAGCTTTTATTTTAGTTTTCCTATTTAGTACCGTGGGTCAGACGTCCTTGAAGAGGGTATGTTGACTGACGATTTGTGTCTGAAAGGCGTCCCCATCTTTCCCAGTATCAGTACCTGCGGCATTTGTGCATGTCTTGCTTGACTCGGCTCCGCACCCAGGCTCTTTGTTGTGGACGACTGCAGCTCTTTATTCGACTCCTACCCCCTGACTGAGTTTTTTCAACATTGTTGGCTCAAAGGACTGTACTGGAAGATTTTACTGAAACAAGAGAAGTAAATGATCCACAATTTTTGTGGTTTTACAACTCAATCTTGGGAGAAGGGGGAATATTGTCCTCTTTCTAGTTCAACCACTTTTTGATGAGATATTCATATATGTAATATTCAAGGAACAGATTTCTGTCATTAAGAATTTGGTTGCCCAGCACAGAAAGGCAAGTCTTCTCATGGTGCAAGTATATTCTCAAATGTACTTTAGGTTTGACTTCATAAGCCTTTAGTATTTATTTATTATTTATTATCCTATTGAATGGAAGCCTTCTGAAAATAATAAAAAAAAATTAGATGATTAAATTATCAGTCAATCAACCATTAGAGTAAACATCTATCAGAAGCATGTAGGTCAGTGCATAGTGTGACTGAAAGACAGACATGGATGCCAGCCTCATGGAACCAGCAGAGTAAGGGGAATTAAGGGCATTGTGTAAATTATTAGAGAAATAAACACAGCAGAGGGTGGGTGCAGCAGGCAGTGCTGGTGAGTTCCAGGCGTGGCGGACCTAAGGGAGGCTGGGACGGTGCAGACTTCCATGGGAAATAGGACATTAAGTCCATGGACAGAGTCCTGGAGAAAGAAGATGTGTATGTACACAATGCAATACTGCTCAGCCATAAAAGAGGATGAAATAATGCCATTTTTCAGCAACGTGGGTGGACCTAGAGATTCTCTAACCAAGTTAAGTCAGAAGGAAAAAGACAAATATCGTGTGATAATCACTTGTATGTAGAATCTTAAGTATAAGACAAACGAGCTCATTTACAAAACAGACACAGATTCACAGACGGAGTTAGGAGCAGATACTAACTGCTATGTATAAACAGATAAACACCAGGGTCCTACTGTGTGGTGCAGGGAACTGGGCTCGGTGCCCTGTAATCATGCAAGACCGTGTGAAAAAGAGTATTTGTGTGTATGTGTGTGTAACTGAATCACTCTCCTGTGCAGCAGAAACGGACACAATACCGTAAAGCAACGATTCTAAAATAGAAGAAAATAAAGAACTCAAGCACAGTAACTGGCCCTAAAGAAAAAGAAGTAGGACATTAAAACTGCGGGTGAGGAGGCTCCGAACAGGCAGGAAGCAGAGGCGCTGTACAAAGTGAGCAGCACCCAGGACTGAAGGGTTTGTTTATGTTTGGAAATCAGGGCCACAGCCGCATATGCCGTTCGGTTTAAGAACGCTTTATTATACACGTGATTTATTAGTTAGGCTTCTAAAAAGACTAAAGCAAAACCAAGTCGTAAAGTAAAAATCAAGTAAGGTTTCCACCTCAACTCTCTGGTGCGCATTTTAGGAAGTCGTCTGTTACTGGTCAGTTTCTCTTTCTCCAGTGGGCTGAACATAGAAACACAAGGTGATTTTTTTTAAGTTAATTTTTGATGTTTTGATTAGTAATTTACTGCTGTTATTTTCCTAGCATATCTGATTGTTTTTCCCACCAAATCCCAGAGCTGTTAGTAGGGAATAAGAACCCAGCTGTGTAGTGACTGAAAGCAAAAGCTTCACTTTAACCTTTGCCAACTTTACATTAATTGAAAGCTCCAGAAATCTAAAAGCCATGCCTCAGACAAGACAAATTACCAACAAAGGACGTGTGCATTTACTTTTATGTGAGTAGTTTTTGAAAGATAGTGTAGTAAGTTTTATTTGTATGTTTACAAATATCATCTTTATTTGTAATATTGGCTTGGATGCAGCTATATTGTGTGAGATATTATTCTCTGAGAAATCTCCAGGAAAGATAGCAGTCACTTGGCTGTTAAATTGAATAAATTAAAAGTGATGGAGGATAGCAGGGACGTTACGGTATCATTGGAAACATATGCTAGTGGTAAAACAGGCATGTATATGTCGTTCATTACATATACAGTCTTCTTAAGCAGCAGATTATATTTGGAGATTTAAATCTTACTCCTTACTGCTCAGAATGCTGGACGTTTGATCGGAGATTTTTGAGCAACTGTTTGATCGCATGGTTCTACACTGGAGACTCCGATGTGGGTGTATGATAGTATTAACATGCACAATACGTTTGATTTACTTTCTCAATGTCTTTCTTCAAGAGATTTTTCCCCTAATTTTTAAAAATCACATTTTTACTTCAAAAGAATAATGTCTGTGAATTCAGATTGTAGCCATCCATATACTTGTCATCAATGGATCCGATTTTTTTTCCCTGAATTATTAGCTGTAACACCTCTGATTAGTAATAAGACCCATATGGCTCATTCTCAGTTTGATTTTGCAGCTGTGGTGGTGAGGCTCGTAAAGAAGGTATTCATCTTTCCCAGACTGCAAAGCAAAACTTGCTCAGAGATGACTAAGTGAGAGGATGTCCCTCGATTATATAAACAAGATTTGGCTGGTTGTTCAGAGTCTTGAATAATGATTTCTATTCCTGACCCAAACAAATTCAGCTTAGTCGTTTGAAAACACAGTTAAAGAACAGTTGACAGAT